GAAACTTTACCTCAACTTGAGACCAACTCGAGTTGCAACCAGAGTCACGGAATGGATTAAGTTCGTAACTAGAGGGACCACTGTATAAGCCTGATCAGAAGTTTTGCTGTATTCAGAGGAGCCTACTTCCAAACAAGAACCACCACCTGAATTCTGCTTTAAACAGATTCTGACCAGTTTCTTTTTTAACACACGTTTTGGCACCAGAATGCAGAATCAGAGTTAACTAAACTGATTAGGAGAGACTGAACAGTAGTGGATCCTATCATACAAGATACCAAATAAACTAGTTATATGCAGCAAGATGGCCTTAACCTATTTTTAAAAATGTTTTGTTTGTATGATTCATTTTTGAAGATCTGAAATCACAGCTCCTTGGTGGGGAGAAAATGCTTCCACTTAAATTGATGTTATTCTTCTAAGATGCCAACAGCTATTCTACAACAGAACAGTGCATCAATTTTATATTGTATTTTAACTGATTTTTATATTGTATTTTAATTGATTTTTATATTGTATTTTAATTGATTTTTATATTGTGTTTTAATTGATTTTATCTCCTCTGTAAACTGCCCAGAGTCACTTTTTAATGAGATGGGCAGTGACAAATTTGATATATAAATAAAGTTTTTCTCCCATTGGACCAATTCCAATGGAGGAGAATACCAAATCTTCAAATAACACAGAATTATTTACTAAATCTAGGTCAGTATTTCTTAAACTTTTTTCTCTCAGGACCCCTTCCCACTTTTAAAAATTACAGAAGGTCCCAAAACAGCTTTTGTTTGTCTGGGTTATATTTATTGATATTTACCATTTTAAAAATTAAAACTGACGCATTCGCTACCACTAGCGCTTCCCACAAATGTTTGATGGGATTTTAATACTGCATTATTTTTCAATGTATGCTGGCAAATAATTTTGATTTTGTGGGGCTCTGAGAGGGTCGTAGGGGACAGAATGGGGGAGGGAGGGAGAGGGAAAAAAACCCTGAAATTAGAAAAATCCATATATGAAACTGTTTCGAAGAAGCCAATTTTCCTGGCTTCCTTATTATTTCAGAGCTGACTCCAAATAACATATATTGGAAAGTAGGAACCTTCCCTGGTTTTGTTCAATTTTTCAGCTAGTTTATAGACAGTTATGGATGATGTAAAATAACAAACTAAAAGAGGTTTTCTTCACCTTGACAGGGTCACTCCATCCAACATGACTATGGAAACAACCGTTAAAAAGGGGCACGGGAAGAGCTCCCCTCCTTGCCCCCAAATTAGCAGCCCCGGTTACCTGAAATGAATATTCTGCCAGGTGAACCCCTCGGATAAGATTGAGCGCACCACACATGATGTTGAGGACGAGAGAGAGGATCCCCAAAGGAGACACAGGCTGCATCCTGCAAGCAGGCGCTTCGGGTGAATTCAAGAAGAAAAGGACATAAAACCAAGGTGAGATTGCTCCATCTTGCTAGGAAGTTTACAATGCTTTTTTATGCTTCTCCCATACTTCAGCGCCTGAACTATTTTCCAGTTTAATCACCTTTTGCAAAACATCTTTTGTAAACCATTCATTCCCTAACTTTGAAGCAGCTTTGAAAGAAGTGCAAGGAAAGATCATTTAAAGTAACACTGATTCTATCTGACAGGATCGAAGGTATCGGAAGCACTTCTAGGAGGCTACAGAAAATGGTGCCAATTCATAGATTAGCTTTTCCCAACCTCTAACAGTATTGGGACTACATCTCACAGAATTCCACACGTTCAGGAATAAGCTCTGCTCTGAATTCATATTGTTGATTTTGTCACTGCACAGGCAATCGCAACGGCCTCTGTTTACAGCAAGGTTTTTCCAGCTGTGTCCCACAGAGAACTTGAAGGCAGCCAATTTTCTGTCACTAGAACTTTGCCTCTTGATCAGGATTTAAAAAAAAAAAAAAACTAGCAGGTTCTGCAGCCTGTAAAAATTGGGGAAAAATTGGCTTAAAGCTGTACTGCTTGATGCTGAAATTAACCACAGTTAATTGCCTTATCGTGCCCATGATGTCAACCCTTTGAGGTAGAGCAAGTCAGGAAACAGACTCCAGAAGTTCGACTGGAACTCCACTGCAGTGAGATAGGCTGGCACAGCGTTTCTCCATCTCAGCAACTTTACAGCCTGTGGACTTCAACTCCCAGAATTCCCCAGCTGGTTGGGGAATTCTGGGAGTTAAAATCCATAGGCTGTAAAGTCGCTGAGATGGAGAAACACTGGACTAGAGTAACAGAATTGTGGAAACCTGACTGTGTTTTCTCTTCCCTCCCTCTTACAGCCCAACAGGTTAGGGCAGAGCCAATCTGAGTTCCTTTCTAATATTTGGTTTCCCGGGCTTAAAGCATGTTTTTGTTTTTGTAACTGTTTCTGCATAGTTTCCCCAAGGCCATCTCTGTGGCTCTCTACATGCAATGTGGCGAACAAGAAAAAGTTGACCCCAATGTAGGATAACTCACCAGTCTCGAGGTGGACTTCCACACGGCCATTCATCATCCCATTCATTAGCTCCGTATCTTCCCATCTGATGAGCGCAGGAGGTCGCACGCGCAACTCCTCCTGCATCTTTTCCACACAGATTTTTTGCTGAGCGCAGTTGGTGTGATTGAAATGGTTTTTGATTTTCTGAATGACATTGTCTGCGGCAAAGAGGCAACAAAAGCTTTCTCTAAAAATAAGAAAATATATAGGTATGCCTCGCTAACTCCCAGCGATGGAATTTGTTATTTTTATAGAGTGAGACCACACCTGAAGTGATATGTGTGATTCTAGGCATCCTATTCCCAGAAGGGACCAAGTTAGGGACAGATCATCATGGAGAAAATCTATCGATGTGGTTGCTAAGAGTCGACAATGACTTGATGGCACATCTCAATCCATCAATTTCCAGAAGGACAGTAATAGGTTAGAGAAAGTTCAGGGGAGGGTGGCAAAGGGAATGGGGGACCTGAGGTCATGTCCTATGAGGACCAGCTGAAGGAACCTGGGATGTTTAATCTGAAGCAAACACGGAGGGGGAGACATGATACCATGGGAAACTAAGATCAGAAACAAGAGCTATAAGTTGAATTCATTTAAATAAAAGGAAAAACTTCCAGATGGTAAGATTTCTAAAAGAGTGGAACAGTCTATCTATGGAGATTAAAAGCCACCTCTGGAGGCTTTTAAGGAAGAGGCTGAACAGCCAACTGTCAAGGACACTTTCATCGGCTTTCCTGAATGTTGCAGATGTTATACAGTATCCTCACTTATCTTTAA